AGAGAGAGAGAGAGAGAGAGGCTGCATGCTGCAAAGAGAAGAGGATTAATGGAGCTACCTCAGGGTCTTTGGACTCGAAGTCCATGGGGGTGGCCACATGGAACACTCCTTCACATCCCTTGATCACCTCAGCGAAGCTTCCTTCCTCGTCCAAGTCTGCTCTCCAGATCGAGAGCCGCTCAGCCGATCCCGGAAGATCTAGCAGAGGCTTGACCTTCTTCTGATTCGCTGCATCAAGACAACAAACCATTCAAGTCTCTGCTGTTCCTGCTTGATCTCTTCATGTGCAAGGGAGCGAGATGCAAAGAGAAATATACTATACTGACAGGGGTCTCTCACGGTGGCCCTGACGATGTATCCATTCTGCAGAAGCTTCATAACTAGCCATGATCCGACGTATCCCGAGGCTCCGGTCACCACCACCGATCCCTTCATCTCTCTCTCTCTCTCACCCTCTCTGAGATTAAACTGATGATTCTGATATGCCGAGCCTTACTCCTTCAGATGTATTTAAAGACTGAAACCAGAGGGAGAGATGGTGGCTGTTCCATCTCGCTTTCTCTCAGTGGAGGAGGAAGAAGAACGAGGATGGTGGTAGATTGGAACGTGGCTCATCTAATTTTCAAGCTCCAACGAACGAAGAAGAGGAAGTCGTATGAACTTTAGGTGTGTTCCCTGAAGTGCCTAATCGTGTCACGGAACTATGTAAAGAACGCGGATCGTAATCACGTCAAATATTTAAGTTATGAATTGATTTCCTTTCCTTACTTGTTATTATAATTTAAGGAAATCTTAATCTACTTCCTTGTTTGTTGATATGAATTAAGGAAATAAGAAATAACTAGTAAGTATTCCAAATATGATGATATCATATTTGTTAGTATATTAAATGAAAATAATTTATATTAAATAAATACGAAAATTAAAATTTATTTCCCTTAATAGAGGCTCACCTCCTCCTAGGAGGGATTTCTCTCCTTCGTTCCTCACCTAGTCGAGCCTGGCAGCGGGAGGAACAAGGAGTTATACCCTGTTGACAAGAGAACGAGGAGTTACACTCTGTTGACAAGAGAACGAGGAGTTACACCCTATTGACAAGAGGTAGGTTTCCCTGCCTTTCTTAAATTTAAAAGTTTTAGTTTTTATTTTGATTCTTTGAATGTTGAAAGTTTGTAGTTTGAAAAATGTTTATCAATTCTTTAAATGTTAAATTTTTTATTATTACATTAAAGTAATCAGTTGTATAATGTTGACCCATGATTAAGTTTTTTATTGTAGATTTAAAGATGTTAAAAATTTATATGTTTTATCTGATATTTTATGATATTACTGTTTATCTTTAATCTTATCTGGATTAAAATATTATTAGATTAAAATATGTTATCTAAAATCTTTTGTGATATTCATTAATTTGAAATTTAAAATATGCTATTCTGAATGATTTAGAATTTGACTAGAATACATTAAAATTTTATATGTATTGAAAGCATGATTTTTATGTGAATTTAGAAGGTTATTCATTATATTAAAGTTTATGTCTTTTAATGTATTATGATTTCCATTCAAATTAGAATGTTATTTCCTTGTTTTAAAATCTCCTTGTCTATCATTCAATGTGTTATTATGTTTTTTGTTTATATTGCTAATGAATATATGTTGCGGTATGAAATTATATATTATTTGGATTGAAATTGCTCACAGGCCAGGCCCAACCCATAGGTCAGGCCACAGCCTATTGGCTAGGCCTAATCAGTAGACCAGGCCCAGCCCGTAGGCCAGGCCCAACCCACGGATCAAGCCTTGGCCCGTAGGCTAACCCAGCCTAACCATGATGGGCGGTCACATGCGATGCACATGACCAGTCCAAGGGCCAAGGCTGGGCCAGCTTTGTGTGATGCATGCCCAGTCATGTATAATACACATGACTAGTAGATGAGCTGGCTTAATCTAGCCCAATATTATTGTTGGATTTGAGCCCGATTGAACTAAACTATGCTTGATTAGTCTAAATCAATTCAGGGTGATTCCGAATTGATTGACTTATTCAAGTTAGTTTAACCTAAATTGAACATAATCTAATCTAAATTATACTAGTCTAGGGTGGTTCCAGACCAGTTAAATAAGGATTAGAGATCATTTCAGTTAGGTCCTAGTAAATTGAGTTCAATTGGATCAATTGAACTAGAGTTCAAGTCAATTGAGGGCTAATTTGTATTATTTGGTATTGATGATATTTGAAAGAAATATTTAAATGTGTTATTTCATCCATATATGGATATGACTAATGTGAGATTATGTTATTTCCCTGCCAAGGGCAGGTAGGGCGATTCCTTTCGGGGATTAACGGGCCGTCAGACGTGGCGGCTGGACGGTTCCTCCATCCGCTGTTGGGAGGAACGTGTCCCCACTTTGGCGGGTGAGGGACACCACTCCATCCGCTGTTGGGAGTGTGATATGAGTTTGCCTCCATCCGCTGTTGGGAGAACACAAACTTATCCCGTAGGATAAAGCCTCTCCATCCGCTGTTGGGAGAGTGCTCCTTCGGGTATTTGATATACGCCAATGAGATGATTGAATTTTGATCATGTATTCATTTTGATTTGACTTTTTGGGGTTCCTACTCAGCGTTGCTGAATTTTCTTTATTTTTGATTTTCAGAGCAGCCTCCCTCTACTACTAAATCGGATTCCAGTGGAGAGCGGACCTTCCTCTACCGCTAGGCCACTTGGATGACTCTTGAAGTTAACATCACTATGTTTACTTTTCTATTTATAATTTAATGAATAAATGAATTATAATAAATAGTTATAGACGTGATGTTTATCTATTTGGCTTGCGTGGAAAAAAAAAAAAATTTCAGGATGTGACACGGACGGTGGTAGATTGGAGGGGTCCAAGAAGTGTCCACTGTCTGAGGTGACGAAGCTCCTATTGTTCATTCAATCACAAAGGTGGGGTTTGGTAAGAGTCGATGAGTCGAATTAGCCTTCCTTGTACTAAATGGAGCAATGGGGAACGCCAAGTCCAGTCCTTGTATTCAATGAAAGCCTCTGTTTCAACGCACGAAGGGTAGGTGCACCACACACTCTTTCCTAGAACTGATGTGCCGTGCATGCGCTGTCTTTTTCTCGAAACAGGATTTTAACAGTATCGACCCATAAGATGTCAATCTATCTATAGCACGCTCTAATTCAGAGATCTTGATGTCGCAAGAGTTTTTAAAATAATTAATTTAGATTAGATAAAGAAAATTTGGGATGATCTAATAAGTGACGGTGTGTCCTCGACGGCAACGTTAGGGCAATGTAGTAGAGAGCCTTAAGAGATTAAATTATTACTAGGAGAATCGGATTTCTAGGTATAGATTTATGGTTTATCACTTTCATTTTTGCCTGAGCTTTATATCGTTGAGATGTAGGTCGACAAACCATCTGATGACAATTTACAGTAATGTGTGACATTAAGGTTTATTTGATTTCCTATTTAATGACTTTGGTTTGTGCTTCTTTATCGACAAATTACGGCAAAACTGTACATATTGTGCCTAAAAATTGCACCAGCGTAAACATAGACGTGCAGACCATGCCAGGTGACACGCAGCACGCGACTGGAAGCCCACGCCTTTCTTCGAGCGCCACGTAGGCACACGCTACCTGTTGCGCGTCCGAATCTGATGCTTTGGCGTTGCCTCCCCACGTCGACGCTTCGTTTCGAGTCTATAAATAGCAAGAGAGGACCGGGGAGCTGAAGTCAACGGATGCAGTCTCTGGCGACGATGTCGTTGTTCACGAGTCCCGTGGCGGCGAGTCCGGCGATGCACGAGGTGATGAGGCGGTACCACAGCCGGCACAAAGCCCCGGGGCAGTGCGGCTCAGCGAACGTGCAGTATTTCGCGGCGCCCCTGCTCGTCGTCTGGTCGTTACTGCGGCGGTTCGACCGCCCGCAGGACCACAAGCGGTTCCATAAGGGATGCAGGCTGCGCGCCGGGGACGGCAGGGTGGGGAGCGTGAGGGAGGTGACGCTGGTGTCCGGGCTGCCGGCGGGGACCAGCACGGAGTGGCACGTGATCAGCTTCTCCGTCCTGGGCGGCGACCACCGGCTGAGCAATTACCAGTCGACCACGTCGCTCCACGAGGGCGGCGAAGGGGAGGGGACCGTGGTGGTGGAGTCGTACGTGGTGGACGTGCCTCCAGGGAACACGGAGGAGGACACCTGCGTCTTCGTCGACACCATCATCCGGTGCAACCTCATCTCGCTGGCGAGCGTTGCGGAGCGGATGGCAGTTTATGAACTACCATAACCTGTAAGCAGTTTATCTCTTATACATACATACATACATACAATGAGAATAAGTGTTTTAGGTATCATTTGTGTCTTACAAAAGATTCTCATTAAAATGTCTAAATTAATCTATAAAAGCAGTAGATACAATTAAAAGAATGATGAGTAAAGAAAGAAAGAAAGAAAATCAAAGGTAAATAGAAAAGAAGTTTTGAGGTTTCCATTTTTAAAATAAAAAACCATAACAAAATATTATTGACTTTCTTTCAAATCTTGAATATATATGCTCATGACTAGATTCTCTTTTTTTTTTTTCCCTTCTCAGTAAAAAAAAAATCCATGAGTTTGGATTCATAACTTGTACGCAAGTGTTTTGCTGCAGAAGCACAACCATCAGTCCAAGTCTTCCTCCGAGAAAATACTAACAACATCTATTGTCAATGGCCTCCCAAATGCATCATAAAAACAGATGGAGAAACATCAGTTCATATGACAGTTCCATCTTTGACAGTAGCACTTTTCAGAATTGTTGTGATTCCAGATCTGATGTAGAATCCTTCACTTGGCCTATCAGCTTCTTGGACACCCTGTTACAGAACAAGCATGATCAAATATAAGCCTTATGCCAGGCATCAAACAAATGATCTATTATTTGTACATACATCTCTGTTAGCAATGACCACATTCTTTCCTATTCTGGCATTCATGTCGATGATGCAGTTCCTGGAATGCACAGAAATCTTTCGGAACTCTTTGTATCTGAGCTTGGATGTTTCATGGAAGTTTGTCTCACCTGATCTTTGTGTTCTCTCCCACTCCAATGGGAACCTTGCCCTCTGCCAGTAGAGAAGCAATCTCAGCTTCGGTTTCATAGTCGTCAGCACCCATCATCAATGTATGCTGAGAAGATCCAAAGACAGGATGATGCTAGTTAGGAAACATGGATTACATGTGTGCCATAAAAGAACAAATACTGCTGCATGGTCAGCTGCTGTAGTTAACAACAGTGGATTGACTTTTGATCTGACTTCAATTTCAGTTTTGTATGCTTAAGAATGATACTAAAAAGCAAGAGATTCAGAAGCATAATGCAACCTATCATGGCAAGCTGTGAAATTTCAAGTATGAGAGCTAGAACTAGAAAGCATTAGCTTAGGCATTGGTGTTATTCTCATCATTTGATCAAGGACTACTTGCCAATTCTTGGCATATGTATGATTTTGTTGTCCTTTGGTTGTGGATATTCAGTATGCAGCTTCCAAGGAAATCACAGCAGATCTCTGATACAGAAAAAAATAGAGCTTGACAAGATAAAAGATTCAATAAAAAATAATGGTTGGAAGCATATTTTACTAACCTTGAGTTCTGCACCATAATATACACGGGACCGCATTCCGACTACCGAATGCTCAATGCTACACTCATGCAAGAAGCATCCATGGGAAATAATTGCATCGCGAATCTGTACAGTAGTTTCAAATGTAAGAGGCCTAAAGATCATAAAAAAGATGAGAAATTGGCAAACTGCTAATGCTAACACATACCCTGCATTGCTCTATTTTATTTGGTGGTAAAAATCGAGGTGATGTGAAAATGGGTGTTCTCGGATCATAAAACTGAAATTTTGGAGGCTGCAGTGCAAATGTTTATATCAGTCTTTGCAATTTGTTTTTCGCAAGTGAATGCATCCACATGTCCATGGTTTCATTACCCTCCTAAGTGCAAATAAGAAAGATCATGCTATTGCATATATATTCTAATGCATAACATCAACCTGATCTGTCAGTGCCAAATTTGCATCATAGAATGATTTGATTGTTTGAATATCCTCCCAGTAATCTTTGAATATATAAGCCTATCAAGAAAAGATCAGATGGCTCCATGGGCAACATTGGGAGATGATTACATTTCATTTAATTGACCAAAAAAAGAGAGATACTTCTTTGATGAGTTAAGATTTGTTTAAATAATTGTATTCAAACCTGGACATTGTAATCCTTCACAGCAGAAGGAAGAATGTCTGATCCAAAGTCATTTGCTTTCGGATAAGTCCACCTGTAAGACACACACCAAGTAAAACATCCTTAAAGAGGCTGAAAGAGCAATATCATCATACCTTAGAAGCTCCAGAAGAGTGTTTCGATTAAAGACATAAACCCCCATTGATGCAATATAGGGGTACTTTTTAGCATCTTGATGAGACAATCTGAAGAGGGTGTTTTCATCCTTCTGCGGTACATGAAGTGCATCGATGTTATGTGCATTGCTTCAATGCAAATTCTAGTTGTTCATGGAGATATTTGCAGCACATTCCTGTCAGATTGTGAAAAAAAAAGGCCTTTGACAAATCACTCACCATTGTTTCCAGATCACCACCTTTGGGTTTCTCGGAAAATTGGATAATTTTGCCTGCCTTATCAATCTTAATTAGTCCATAGTCAGATGCTCGGCTTCCATGAGGAGCAGGAAGAGCTAGTTTAGTGTAAAGGTTTTTTTTACCACTAACTGAACAAAGTAGAGAAAGTTTAAAAGCATGCTTGTAACTTATCAAGAATTCATCAAGCTCAAGATAGTGGACAAGGAAAAAATATATATGATATATTGCACAACAAAAATGGTAGCAAGCTTGTATTAAATATCCGAGAAGGATAAGTTCTTTGTTTCCAGAAATGAAATTGTGATACACCACAAAAATTTTCATCAATGCTTTGTTTACGGAAAATGCATGACTTCAGATTCCTCGAAGACAGCTACTAATCGATAACATTGGTGAGCAGATTATCAACAACAGCCAAGATTAAACTTGGAAAGAAGCATTAGAATGTTTTTAGCTGTGTGATATTTAAACAGGTTTACAGCTTTTGGTTAGTATCATGTACAGATACAGCTAGATGAAGGCGCAGATACATAATCATATACTTCTAGGTGCGACATTTTCGGCATTGCATACCTGGCACCAACAGGCACACAAGATATGGTGATATCAGCACCAGTATCGACATGTTTCTGCAGATGTTTTGTATCATTTAAGTATTTTTAAAAGAGATTGAAATTAAAAAGGAACGGTTGAGTTATGAGGCCACATGCCTGCACAAAGTCCATGTAGTCCATACGGTACAACTGGTCACCAGATAGAATCAGTATGTATTGAATGTTCTTATTCCTGTTGTCCTGAATGAAAGCACAGATCAAAATCAGAAACTTCGGATGTATAAGAAGCTTACTCTGAGAAAGGATAAGAATTCTTGTTCTTGATTTGCTTGATCGGGAGAGCACACCTCAAATACCCAAGTAAATTGTCTCACAGCATCTGCTGTGCCCTGAAACCAGTTCATTCCAGATTCACCAGGTGATTGAGTAGCTGCTAAAACCTGCTTATGAGCCCAAATGACTAGTTATTGAAAAAGGAATCAAAATCTTAGTAAACATATACAATCATTAATCAGCTATTTCATCGGTGTTCAGATAAATAAAATAATTGAACTCAATAATGCTTTCGAAACCACTAAGCTTAACACGGTTGCCATGGTGGCCAAGTGATGCATGGAGCCAACAAATCAGAAATATTACCTCCACAAATCCATCACCAAAGTTGATTCCGTTGCCAAAGTTAAATGTACGATAAATATGACGGTTTAGGGAAGCTGAATTAAATTGTGTCATGATGAATATCTTGTTTATGCCACTGTTGATGCAATTGCTCATTGGAATGTCAATAAGCCTATAGCATCCCCCAACAGGAACCTGTATAGAACAAGATAGATCAAACACATCCATCTTGGCAATCTAATTCTTGCTTCAGTTAAAAAATAAAGAGAAAAAGAACATCTGGAGAGATAAAGGTTGTGTGTTAGAGCATTTGCAGAACAGGTAACTTCTATAAGCATCAGCTTTCGAAGAAATCGAGCATCCACAATATTCCAAAACTCTCCAACGAACTCCTTTGCGGCATTATAATTCTTAAACCTTGATGAAAGATACTCAAAACAATTTAGTCTGTTATTCAGAAAGATGTTATGAGGCAAGAAATCCAAAGGTCTGAAAGCTTCTCGGGAAAAAATTCACAGTATCTACGTGAAGAGAAAAGGTGAAGAATTCAAGATCACAACCATGAAACAGACATTTTTCATCCTATGCAATATGAGCTTGTTTCTTACAGCAGGTGTGGCTCTGGTACTTGTGAGAGGAAAAAGCTGAGCTCCAGCCCCTCCACCCAAAATGATGGATGCAACACTCCTGGCATCCGGCTTATGTTTTCCAAACCTTGGTGCCTGAATGACCTGCAACCACAGTAAAGTGATCCTGAATCCATTTTCTTCAAAGAGAATGCTACTGATCTATCTCTGAACCAGAAACAGAGACCAAAGGCTAATCAAACTTGTAAAGGGAAATTAAGAAACAGATAAAGGTATAATAACATCGATGTGGAAGTCCAAAGAACTAAATAAGAATTCCTCGATCACATCTTCCATACACTTCCTTAGCTGGGTTGATCATTTCTTTAAGGTATAAGATAATGCCATTCTATTTAGTCTAAGAGCTACTGAAACATCAAACAGAAGTATATTACATAAAGCATAGACTTTATTAGTTGCAAAACATGTCAATAAAATCACAAATTTTAGCAAAAAAATTACAGAGGATAATATACATGTATTATCCACACAAATGTTTGCTCACCAATTTCTGCAAGAAAGGAGCAGATGCTTACAGTCTCCTTGTTGACAGCTGAAGTGATAGCAAAAACTCCAGCTCCTGCCTTGAACTCTCCGACCCAGCAGCAGCAGTTCTTGGCGCTCCTCACCACCTTCGGTTTCCAGGCCATGATTCTTGAGCCAACTGCAAACCCACTCTCCTCAGCGTCAAGAACTCCCCGTTTTATTTGGCTTAAGCATGCACTGCTCTTCAAACCCACACTGCTAGCATCCATCATGGGTGCAATCGTTGCCTCGTTCCCCAGGAAGAAAGAAGGAAAGGAAGATAAGAACAACAGGAGCTGTCAAGATCTGAAGGGCTCCAAAACGTGAGCAGATCACGGGAACAAAACCCAAAGGCAGCTCCAGAACTGGAAGGTCATTTTGGATGCACACTTGCCTCACTCTTCCAACAATGGAAGATGCAGGACCTTCGCCCAAATTTAGCTAATGCGACAGCCATGGCATTCTATCTCTAGGAGTGTAAGAGAACCGAGTAACCACAACTTTATAGGCAAGGTTCTCAATGTAAGGAACCAAAGCTTTAAGAGCCCATGGAGCACAGTCCTGCTTGCTCTGCTCATCTTAGGTCCTCCAAAATTGCTGAGATCTCTCAATCCAAGTCTTATGGTCAAGTTTGGAACCCACCTCCCAACTACTGAGGTTGATCTTGTTTGTCCACAGACGCTGATCACATACTTGAGAATCTGTGGAACGGAGCAATGTTAGAGAACAGCGGAGACGCTTGGCGTGTGAACGAGCGATCACGTCGAGATTGAGAGAGAAAAACCGCATGGAGACCGCCTCCAACCACGTCGTGGTGTCCATGCCAATGGTTCTTGTTGTCTTGCGCTTATAGTCTTGCCAGTGGCTTCGGAGTTCTCCTCCACCTTCTCCGTGCCTTTTTGAGCGCCTGGACGTCAACATTTGTTGTGTGGGCGTCAGCTCTGATGATTCGTCCAGCGTTTATCCATGCTTGGTCACCTGCGGCACACCCCAAGACGGTATTAGGAGGAGGATTATTACTCCATAGGCCTGATTAAGCTCAAGCGAAGATGGAACAGTAAGATAAGAAGCTCCACCTGCACAAATGTATCCATCAAATCAGCCACAAGTAGAAGGAGACTGAGTGGCCTGCTCACGGGCTGAGCCTACTTGAAACGAAAGCCCGTTCGAGGCCAGCGACCGGGCTCAATCCATCCGACCCGATCAAACCAACGCGGAGCTGAGTTCGTCACATCTGTTCGACGGAATGTCCATGCAAACATCTCTCAGGAAAGAAACTTCTTACGATGTAGGAGTAGAGGAAAAGAGGGAGAATGAACCGCAAATCATGCAGGAAACACACAAGCAACCAGTCTTTTTGCACAAAGAGTTGGAGCTAATTCCAGTATCGGTTGGTCGATACTCGAATAAGATGACAGCGGGATACGAAAACAAGAAAGAAGGAATGCTCTGTAACCCTTAGAAGACAGACATCATGGGGGGGACACCACTATTGGAAGAGTGCAGAAGAAGGAATGCTTTGTGTTCATGCCTTTACGGACATAAGAGTAAAGAGCAAGACAACTGAACAGTTGGGAGACAAGAAGACAAAGAACAAAATAGACAGAGGCATAGTATATAACACTGATTAAGATTTCCAAGTTAAAGATGGATATCTGTACAAGAAATATAAGTAGGATTTCACACACTTCCAAAATGATGAGTTTGCTCTTCCTCTTGGCTCACCTAATTGATACTGGCTGAAATAACAGCATACTAAAAGAACATATTTTGCGGTCGATCTCAAACAGATGACACAGAATTGTTAGAAAAGGGAAAATGTGAATAGCTGAACTCTTGATGTACATACGATGACCACCCTTACGCTTGAAACCCTTCGGATGTTCGATTCTCTCGTATTCGTACTCTATTTTCCAGATCGCTCACACTGTTACTCTCCTGCAGGGCCTCTATCTCTGTACTTCCTGGCTGACTCCTTCGGTTTCTCCGATCCTTTTTAAGAAATAAATGTAGATGTCAGTAATTTTGCCTTCAATCGTAGGACAATTCATTTCTATTAGTGTTTGTATGAAAAACCAGAAGGAAGATTACGACCTCACGATAAGATGCTTCGTCTGCTTCAAGCATTCGAACAACCTGGCCCATTTTGGGTCTTCTACCAGAATCAGGATCAACACATCTCAGTGCAACTAATAGTGTACGTTTAAGAGCCCGTGTAGCTGGTTTGACCTCAAGGTTTGGATCCAGTACTTCCTCTGCCCTTCTACTTCCAATCATCATCTTAAGCCACTCCACTAGATTCACCTGGCAATAGAGAGAAAGAAATGCATACTGATCTCATCATGAGAACAGGTGAAGAATTTGAGAATGCACAAATACAGTGAAAATTTTAGCTGATGGTCCATGCCAAGCATCTAAATTTCTAGACAATAGAAGTTCAAGTTTATCATGTCATTATACTAGATAAAGAGACAAGAAATGAAGAAAGCAATTCAGAATAGATAAATTTAAACGGTATCTAGGTTTTGTTTATTACACCTCATTTTCCGGCCTGCCATAATCCACAGGATCCCTGCCAGTCACAGTCTCCAGTACCAGTACTCCAAAACTATAAACATCACTCTTCTCATTTAAAAGTCCAGTGTTAGCATATTCAGGAGCCACATACCTGATAGTTTTAAAAAGTGAATGTATTCATCATGCTAGCTATAATTTTCTGCAATTTTATTGCAAAATAAAAAAAGAAGCATACACCGATGACCCACTTACCCAAATGTTCCCATTACTCTAGTGGCGATATGGCTTTTGTCTGAACCTAGAAGCTTAGCCAATCCAAAATCAGATATCTTTCCATTATATTCACCATCAATCAAGATGTTACTTGACTTAATATCTCGGTGCACAACTTTTGGTTCAATTGCTTCATGCAAATAAGCAAGCCTGAAAGCCATGATCAGTTAACCATCAATATAGTATTAACAGTCTAACAAGGATATGACCTTTAACCAAAATTTAAATGTGAAAACCAAAAGAGAAAGTATGTGTTGATCAATGATTTGCTTTGGAAACAAGACTTACGCCTTTGCAGTGCCAAGGATGACATTCATGCGGTTCTCCCAACCAAGTACACCACGTTGACGCATAGCTCCATGTAGCCACTGCTCTAGATTCCCATTGTTGACATACTCATACACAAGCATCCTACAAAATATTGGGTGATCTACATAACCAGCTCATTGAACGTAACTAAAATCCACAAGTATCATTAGCATGTAATACTTCTGTGGTTGTCCATATGCATATAGCTTACAGAAACGATAACATAAATTTGGTAGCAAAACTATCATTTTTAATCAGAACCGGAGGAGTATCACATGTTCAATAGGGATGTCACTGGCTTTGTTTGCTTTGCCAAACAGTGGTGAAATTAAGCCATTTAAATAATCTCATTATTCAAAACTACTTTCTAGTACACACACTAAGATAGAAATTGGAGAATTCAGGTGATTCAAAATATTTACTAATCATATCTTATCATTCTTTAGCATGAAAGATCACACGTTTCCCAGATATGAGACTAGATTGTACTAAGCAAAAAAAATTTTCCCTCTTATATTGCAATAAATATCTGCAACATCTTTCTAGTTTTCCACAGAGAACTATGCTTGCTATGAGTGCACTTACTTCAACGAAATCTTCAAGGGCCACTTTTAGGGATGAGGAAGAAATTTGCGGGAGACCAATATGCTTCCTTCTTATAAAACTAGATGCCATTGGCATATCATGACAGAGGAGCTTTCCTCCTTTACTGTTGATTATTTGTCTATACTTAGTGTCTCTTTCAGATTTGTTCATGCATGATGTGAGAAAAAAATGTCTTTTCATACCATCCATTATGAGCTAGTTTGTTTTGACTTAATGCTTCAGCTAATTTAATTGCAAGATCATAAATGACTCGATTTGTTGCAGCATACACGTGTCAACAATTTTGACGGGTTCAGTCAATATGATAAACATTTTGTTCCCATTGCATGTGTTTCTTTATGTAACTTTGGTTTAATTGGCACAAGATTGTGGTGGTAAAGAAACCTTTAACCATCATTTCTTGTAAGGTTATAGTCGCTGTGTTGACAAATTCCAATCATACAAAAGGGCAAACACTAAAAAAATATGTTGAAATGGATCATTCAGAAAAAAGTATGCACCTATGAATTCCTTCTACACAATATCCCAAAAGCCTCACTAGATTCTTGTGTCGAACATGACCAATGGCCTCAACTTCCACCCTAAATTCTTTCTCTGCCTGTCCCCTACATGATCCAGAGAGAGCCACAATTAAGAAACTATTGCAAATATTATGAACCAAATGGATCAAAGGATGATGAGTCAAAGTAGTTGTGATTGTGATTGTGATTGGCAGACGCTATGTTATGAACTTACAGATTGTTTAAAAGCTTCTTTACTGCAACATCAGTCCCATTGATCAAACGTCCCCGATAAACAACTCCATATCCACCCTCCCCAAGGACATTCTCCTTGGAAAAACGATTTGTAGCAAGCTCAAGGTCCCTTAGAGTAAACCAGTGACCCCAACCCAAATGCGAGGACTCTGGCAATCCAACCAAAGGAGATGCAGATACAAGTGCATATGCTGGATATGCTTTCCTCGTGGGTCCCGAGCTGCCTTCATCTCCAGAATATGAACTCCCAGCCCTGTCATTGAGGTAGGCAGAGCTGCACTGGCTAACATTGTCAGCATCACTTGATTTGCTCCTGGTCAGGTGGGCAAGTGTCTTTCCCGAATCCATGTCACTAAATTTGTCATGTGAGCGGAAGAAAGGCCCTTCACGCTCCTGAAGGCTTTGAGCTAAGCATTGGTTACCAACCCTGTCCACAGCAATTTCCTTTGAGACATTTGGAATATGTGAGATTGGCATGTTGTGAAGTATCCTTGTCTTCCTCTTGGATGTTATCCATATGGATAAAATAGAGAGAATAAACACGATTAATACACCAATGCAGATGCCAATCACAACCCAAAGTCTCAGACCAAAAACTGGTGTCTTCTGTGATAATTCAGCATTTAATGGACCATCAGCTGACATTTTCTTTTCTGTAATTTAAAGAGGCAATAATTAGTGAATGTTTGAGCAAATGATTTGCATTATATAGGTATAATTCGGGCATCCCTTGATCTAGCAACAGATTGGTTATATATACTGAATGTTAAGCAACCATTAAATGCAACATAATTCCCCAATTATAAATAGAAATTTCCACAATAACATAATGAAAGCCCAGAAATGCTAGAAAACCTCATTACAAAGGCACTACAGCGAACGTGATAAAAGGAAAAATATCTTACAGCCAGTGCAGATATTACCATCAACATTAATGGATCAATGTTTAGCAATTTGGGGACGATAACAGCAGAAAAAAGATTTACTACCTCTGGTGGTCTGATCTCGTTGATCTAGCCAAGCGAAGGGCTTCTTCAGAGCTTTAAGACATGAAGCTTCCACACCAAAAGTAATAGCCCCAAAACAACTCAATGGAAACTAAGGAAGAAACGTGGCTACAGTGGCATCCAAGCAGGGTAAAGCCAGCATGTGTTCTTAGAAACCCCTTGATTGGAATGAGGAAAGAAGCATCAAAGGAAAACCAAAGAAACAAGGAATGGCTAGCACAGGACCAAGAGGGGGAAAAAAGCTCATCTTTTTCTCAATCTTTGAGAGATTGGAAGGAGGGAATAAGGCATTTAAGTGAAATGGTCGGTGATTGCATCGTATTCTTTGATGCAAGGGGTTGAAGGAAATCTAAGACCGAGAGGCATTGGTGAGGACAGCCAAAGGTTTTCCTTGGGAAGGGGAGGGGAAGAGAACAGGAAAGGAAAGCAAGAGAGAAGTACAGAATTGGACTATTAGGAAACAGAGAAAACATTATAAAATGGGATTAAAGGGAGGGAGAAAGAATAAACACGAGAGAGAGAGAGAGAGGATGAATGAGGTCAAATTAGCAGACAAAGCTCCAAATCCAGCTTGCTGCCTTTGCATTCTCACAGTAAACTCACCATTTTAGCCGCCTCCTCCCCTGTGCAGTTTGTGCGGGTGTTGGATTCTTCAGGTCCCAAAATTACTATTCTGCCCTCACAAGCCTATTTCAAGCTCGGCAATTTGGTTGGCGCATTACGACGTGCTTGCTTAGATTAGCAGTGCGGGTTTCCAATTCGTCGTGTTGGATTCGTGTCGTGTTGGATTCGTGTCGGGTCGACGGATCGGGTCGACCCGACACGACATAAACATTATGTCGTGTTGGATTCGTGTCGGGTCGACGGATCGGGTCGACGACCCCACCCCTTAAATTGGCGGAGACAAGTCGAGTCCTTCGTCGGCATTACGGCCGCGTCTCTCTTTGGCTCGCACGTAACCCATCGTTCTCTCGTCGCCGTCTCGCCATGCTGCGGCCGGTCGATGCCACCACGGCCACCCTGCAACCCTTCAGCTCCCACCACCCTCTCCTCCTCCTCCTGCACTCCTGCAAGACTCTGGTCCGGATCAAGAAGGCCCACGCCAAGCTGATCACTGCCGTTCTCTTCCTCCATCCCGTCCCCCGAGCAAGCTCCTCGAGCTCCTCCCCTCCTCTTCCCCTCCGCCCTCTGCCGCCGTCACTGCCCCTCCTCCTCTTCTCTCCTACGCCGACCTCGTCTTTTGCCACTCCCCCTCGCCTCCTCTATTCTCCTAAGACACCCTCGTCAAAGCCCACTCCTCGCCCGCCTCCCTCCTCTGCCCCCAACCAGTACACCTTCGCCTTCCTCCTCGCCGCGTGCGGGCCCCGCGAGCTGGGCTTGGCCGAGGCGGAGCAGGTCAGGGTTCACGCCCTCAAGCGGGGGCTTGAGACCAATGTGTTCGTTTCCAACGCGGTGGTCCGGGTGTACGGTAGCTTTGGGTCCGTCCACGACGCGCAGATGGTGTTTGACGGGAGCGCCCGACGGGACATGTTCTCGTGGAATTCGTTGATCGGTGGATACGTCGGATTTGGAGATGTCGACCGTGCGAGGAAGTTGTTTGATGAAATGCCGGAGAAAGGATGTTGTCTCTTGGAGTACTATTGTTGCGGGATATGTGCAGGTAAGAAACTGGGTGTTTTGGTGCGATCAGCAAGAGTCGTGCTGGAGAAACCTCTTAATGTTGATGTTAGGGTTGTCTTCTATGTGACCACCTGAATGCTGCCTTCCTTAAACTTCCCAGCCATTTGTAGGTAGGTTGCTTCTTAGAGGCAATGGAGCTTTTCCGTCACATGCAGCGTGCAGGTGCTAGACCAAATGAGTTGACTCTCACCACTGTTCGTGCGGCATGTGCGAATCTTGTTGCATAGAAACAAGAAAGATGGATTCACATGTTCATGAAGAAAGAGAGTGTCGAGATGAACGACAGACTGCTTGCCGGTCTCATTGACGTGTATGCAAAGTGTGGGGAGATAGAATCCGCCAGGAATGTATTCAATGCTGAAGGCAGTCCCAAATGCACCGCCCGGCCTTGGAATGCCATGCTTAGTGGCTTTGCTATTCATGGAAAATCCGATGATGCAGTTAAGCTCTTTGAAAGGATGAAGGTACTAAACATCCCTCCAGATAAAGTGACATTTGTGTCTTTGCTCAATGCCTGTAGTCATGGAAGATTGGTGGATCATCAGCAAATTGGAGCCAAGAAGTTGGAGAGGTGCTGCTTGACATACATGAGGAGGACAAGGAGACTGCTTTGTCTATACATGGTGAGAAATTAGCCATTGCCTTTGGATTGATGAACACAGGACAGGATAAGGTTTCATCACTTCAAAGATGGAATTTGTTCTTGCAAGGATTACTGGTAGAGATCCTATAGTCGACTTCAAACTACTGTTCCCTGACTCGATATGGTAAAATTCCTGGAACTTTTCTTGGTTTTTGTTTATTTTTCCTCTCCTTTTGACACCAGTCCTCAACTCGACATAAAGTGATATAGTTAAATCATTCATTGCTGATGCTAAAAAAGGTTTCCTGATTGCCTCTATGCAATAATTCATGGGGACTAACCTGTGGTCCATTATCACATGCATTTACAGTGTTTGATTGATTAGCATGTTGTTCATCTTGATGTGTATGCTTTGTGAATCAATGACACCAAAATCTACAAATAAAATGTCTGAAAATAAAGAACCTTAATGTTGTAATGGATACAGCATGCTCTATAACAGCTCTAACAATTATCTTTCATCTTTTTAGATCTAAAGGGTATTTGATGACCACATAGAAGTCATTGAGACGTCTACATTTGCTTCAAGGGATGGTAATGCCGGCTTTGGAATCAACAAATGTGGAGTTCTCCACTGAAGTGCTCACTCGGATCTCTCAGGTGATCAGATCAAAAAGATGGGACTAGTTTGAGGAGATGATTCAACGACTTTGCCAAAGGTCAAGGATGATGTATCTGCTCAGCTTAGCTCGACAAAGTTTAGATCAAATTTGTGGCTCAAAGATATGGTTCTCGCTGGGATTCAACTCAACTTATTTTGGTAGCAGTTAAGAGGGTTGGAACTCCTCAGATTGCTTGATGTGAGAATTACACTTGCAGATGTTTGTTCTATTGCACAAACGTTAAATAATCAGCTTATTCTCCAATCAAATTGGTTTGTTGATTTTTTTGCCTCAAATTGAGGAGGTGAGGCTGTGAAATTTGGATACTCTCCGACTTTCTAGTAATCCATTTGATTACCAAATCTATATGCATGTGAAGGTTACTCATTCTTTGTGTCTATTTTTTTATGATTGACTACAGCTAGAAGAGAACATGATGCCCTCAAAACATTTGATTACTGTTCTTGATAGATTTGCTTAATTGTTGGAAGCTTCAGAAATTTTGGACTCGAACATATTGACTTAAAACACCAGTTTATATATATGACAATACTAACAGGTAGAATCCCAGCTTTCCAAAGCAAATGACCAGGAAACAAAGACCAACAATACTTAAGCAAACATTAGACCAGACTGCATAAAATACTGCAACAGAGGCTCAACAAATAGTACAATCTAACACATTGACAGAGTAGCTGACTGTTAAATGCATCAGAAACCAAACAAGAAAATGCTGCGGTTGATAATTTAGTTGAAAACCTAATTTAGTAATCCAGTCCGGTTACTTTGCAAAATGCTGACCGCATACTGGCACGGTAGCCTTAAACCGCTAAGGATCATCGATGGCTAGCACCGTATCATCCTTGTTATAGGTATCGAGGACATGGCATCCTTTTCCAGATTGTTCAACAGGACATCTGAATGATTTACCTGCTTGCAACATTTGGATGCATGTGAAATTCGGTTTGTTCCAGTGATGAAGTCCTAAATTGGAGCTGCACGCAAAGCATAAAGGGCACTGCTGCACCCGACGGGCTTAGCAGGCATTTGAGGCATTGAAGTAGCTGGAGTGACTGGAGGAGGTTTGTCGACTAAATTTGCCACAGGAATCCTCTCGGTTAAGGGAAAACCAAAAAGTCTGCAACCTTTTCGGCTGACACTTCGCTCGTTTTCAAAGTCCAGCTTACCATCCAAGACAGGATCATGGACTTTTACCATTTTGCATTGCTGGTTGGCAAAATGACAAGCCAATGTTGGAGGCCAAGATGGAAAGTTTGATTCTTCTCTATGCAAGGGTTCTGAACCATTTAACATGGCAAAGCGGCACCCTTCATCACCTCTGTCTTGATAATTCATGCCAGGCATAGAATGAGCTGACAGAGATACACAACTTGCATCTTGAAACATTAGCACCGAAGATGGGGAAAATGCTTGAATTGATGGCAAAGACTGTTGAAGAAGAGTAACATATCCATGGGGTGCTATAGGCAATCTGCTTTCAGCACGAGATGTGAGAACATCATCAAACTGGCCGTACACACCATTCCTTACATGAGCATCACATGGTGCTCCAAGGAAAGGAGGATTTCTTGAGAAAACTTCTTGACCTTGCAAGACCTTCTGGAATCGGATAGATTCACTAAAGCCTGTGCGATTGAAGGATGAGTCAGATTTTCCATGTGAGATTCTGACCCTACCTCCTGGAACAGATTCACCTATGATGCTGCCATTTGCATCAGGGGAACATCCCTTCTCTGAGTACTGAGGATTTCCAATCCCGAAAACATGAGAAGCTGTCACACCAATGCAATTTGGAGCACCGAGTCTCATAAATTCTTGACCTTGCAAGACCTTGTGGATACTTGCAGATTCCCTCAAGTCTGGACAACCATTTCCATCTGCATCAATTGCATACAAGCATTAGAAATAATGCAGGAAATGTTTTTGAGCTTTGGAGAGTTTCAATTATGAAACACATCAAAGACCTACTCGGAATTGGAAAATCCATATTGACAGAGGGAAGACCGATTTTGGCCCTCTTGGAACCTACTGTTGACAGGCTGCCAGAGCCCGAAACTGAACCAGTTGGTTCAATTTCCCATGGGGATATCCTATTCTGTTGATTAGTATCTGCATCAACGTCCCAATTTACCTGCAATGAAGAACAAATATATCTCAAATCAGAAATACAGATGCTAATTAAAGGAAAAAAGTTGATATTTCAAAATTGCATATAGTACAGACATAAGGTAGATAATGACATATCAAGAGAGATCTTTTTCATTCTAGAGGAAAGTTCAGGTTATGCTACCACATCAATTCATTGAAAAAAATATAGAAGAACTAAGAAATACAGCATGACGATGATCAACTAAGAAGAAACATCAAACAAATAACAGAGAAGAAAGAACAGCAGAAAGCTATCTAACAAGAAAGAAAACTGATATGTTAAACCGTCAGTTTCTAATAGAAACAAGTAATGTGGGTTAAATGATGAGTCCAGATTGTATTCAATATTAGCCTTGAATTTAGGAAAGATAAAATAACATGAAATTATAAAAAACACAAACTTAAAAGGTTTTCTTTCAACTTTGAGATGTGAGCATAGGAATCCAGCTTGATGGGGCTCGGCCATAATGCACCAACCAGGGTGTCTCACTTAGCATCATAATGGATAGAACATAAGTCCAAATAGAATTAATTACTCCCACCAACAACCTCAGCCAGCCCATGCCTTGGTCTCAGCAGCAATGGAAACTTTATTATAAAAAATGCCTCCAATCGAAATGAAAGTTATATCGATCACGGAATTTTTACCTAATTAGTTCAAAGGTTATGGTTGCTTAAGCAGATAATTGTCAGAAACAACCACTTAACATTACCTACACCTCTGTATCTCTCAGAACAATTATCATGTTGGCAAGGTCCATGGGTCTTAAATAACACCATACATATGAACCTATGCCTTTTCTTGCTAGATTCAGTCATATTAAACTGGCAATGATGTAAATGATTAAGTATTTATGAATTCTAGTATAAAGAAGAAAGTTAACTTTTGATATGCCATTAAATAGTAAAGCACCTCAAAACAATATGACAACAACATTAAACCATACTAAGCCTTGCATGTGGGAGGCATCTCATAATTTATATAACACAGATGAAGATATGTGACACTATAGTTTAATCCTGGCTATGGAAGGAGAATTAAGTTGGTTTGTAGGGTTAGATGTCTATTACTATTGATTTGATCATAAGCATTTTAGGTCAAATGGTTCATAAGTTGGTTATCCATTTGGACCCATCGTAACCTAGTTATATCAAGAGTGGATCTAATATTAGACATGATAAGGTGCCTAAGTAAGAAAACAGTACTTGTGAATGGAGCAAGAGGCGTATCATGGTCATCAATGGGCTGAACTTAAAAGTGCTGGATTATGTTTGATATTTAGGCCTTGGTTTAATTGTGCTATCTTGGTTTAATCATACATCAGAAATGGGAGAAATGAGTTGACTTATAAGATTATATAATTTTACAAATATTATCTTGAACTTGAGCATTTTGTGTCATGTGGTTCCAGGCTATCAAGTTAATGAGTCAATTATCCTGTGAGATTAGGTCATGACAAGATGTATCTTTTGAGAGATGCATAATTAGCTGGGCGTAAAAGAATAAGAAACACAAGTATTGTGCCCCTTAAGATCCCCCAAGAAATAGGAAATGCATGCTTACCTTGGAGAGAAGACCTAGATTGAGTTATAGGTTATGAACCTACACTGGCTTGCATCGTCCTCTGATAATCTCTATCACATGATTTATATATAGTGATAAAGTAAACAAGCAGATTAAGCTAGACTGTCATATAGGGATCTTGCAATTTTTGTAAGCTGCAAATAAATCTACTTGACAGTATATTATACCTATGTGCACCATCCAAATTGGAGAAAAAACCACTAACTGGCTCAAGTGAGATCAAATCCAGAACTGCAATGGGTTAGTTGCAAATGGAAAGATACAGTAGGCCAAGAAAGGTGCAAAGGATGACCCTCCAACAAAATGTCTCTTATCAAAGATCTAACAGCATATTATTTCATGTAAATAGTCTTGGCAAGAGAACTATTTGCTTGTACAAGAAAACATGGATTAAGCATTTAAGCATACCAACAGACACCTCCACTTGGAACCAGGCCATCTTACAGGGTCCATGTCACTGATCCCAGTTACCAGTCCTGTGGACCTATAGAAAAAGGTAAATGAACAACATTCAACACATCTCAATTTAAATCCTAAAAAAGAACGTATATCAAACCTTCTCTCTGAGGCATCGTCACTTTCATAAATCATTTTGAACCTGATTCCCACAGAAATGGAACTATTGAAGCTTTTTACAAATTTCCAGTATGGAACAATGAAATCCGACGAGTTTGCCCTGCAAAATTGGAACTTGGTTTTTAGAAACCATCTTGACTACGATGACATGATATTTCACTTTTATTGACACTTAAGAATGAAGAAGCTCATAAAGAATAATGAGTTGTCATTTAGCTACATGGTATAACAAACACAGCATAATTTGAGATAAACAGAAAACTCCATTTAAAAAAGAACAAAAGAAGTGCTATGGAATATAGGGTTAAGGCATCCTTGGACAATTAACCATGAAACAGTTAATTGGCCAACTAATTCCGTCATGAGAAAAATGACATCTGTGTTTCTATCTTAGATCAAGAATCATTGACGTGAGCAGCTTGTAAAGTTACCATGTTGTGTATCCTTCAGAGTTCATACAGCTTTTTTATTTTAAGAATAAAAGCAATCCTGTGCAGAAATAGCACACTCCAACTTTGGTCTGGATTTAGGGGGAAAAAAAAAAGATTCTTAATACTTAAGACAGTCACGATTTCTGGAATATGATTGATGGTGTTTGTACTTCCTGTAAATACAGAACTGGCTTTTGCATATGTATAAGGTAAACTTATATAGAGCATAACTCCATTGCAACCAAACATACCTTGGGTTATAATAGACATGGAAGACTTTTCTTGTGGACACAGCGTTAGCAATATCGGCCAATGTAGCAAGAGTCGAGTTCCCACTTGGATGTGCTGAAACTGGATTGCTGCTTTTAAATTGTACTGCTCTCCTAATACCCAATCTAAGCTCCCCATCAGTACCCCTATTCACATATAGAAAACTCTCATTCATGTAAATGATCTTCACGCCTACATAGTCAGCAACATTTTGATAATGCCTACCGAAGAAAGAGCACTGCATCTCCTGATATGAGCTTTTTCCTATTCACAAATGCACTCCATCCAGTTGTAAGAAGATGCCTGCGCGGTTGACCTAAAATGCATACAACTCAAACATCAGCAGCAGCAGCAGATAAATTGAATTTTGTAAGGACTATGGTAGTTTAAGTAATGTGACATATTCATAATATATTCACAACTAAGATCTCTAAAAGGATTGAAAATCACATGCACAACAACTATGGTGCATTCCAACAAGTACTGGTTGTTATGCATCATATGGATCATTCCAAAGGGAACTTCTCCACACAAAAATTCCAAATAATCTTCTTCAGCAAGTCATATATGGTGGCGTGGATAATTGGCAGAAACAATATCTTCAACTAAATGCTTTAAGATGATCAGCTTTCTATCCACCGGCGAAAACTAATAGCTAAGTGTTGTCTTATGATACGACACAAGAATATGAGAACAAATGACAACAAAGTCTTTGAGCATAAATGTGCAGTCAAAATTGCCTGAGCATTGTAGTATAAAGAGAAAAGGTTTTTAAGGCATTCTTAGCTGAAAGTTCAAGCATTTGAAAATAAAAATGTGAACAATATCTGGATTTGCTTAATATACCTCTATAGATATGTCGAAACCTCCATTCCATGCCATGTAAGTCTTTTGCAATAAGCTCTTGCGAAGGTCTCTGCAGCTTATAATCCTAATTCAGAAAGAGGAAGAGGCAAAACACAAAAGTTCAGAGCAATATCTATGCCCAAAGCTACAAACAATATTTGATGGAGGTAGATCCGTTGCGATGTATCCATTTCGCATTAGATACCCTAAACAAATATCATCACAAAATCAAATCCAAAATAGCTCATGTTTAAGGGTATCTAGTCACCAGGGGAGGGAAGCAGTCCTCAGCAGCTCGGCGGGGCACAGAGAACCCTCCATGGGTGCTAGTGTCAGATGCAGTGAGGGTCTTGCAGAACATATGGGGGACAGAGGATCTGTTTATGCACTCAACATCATCTCCTTCCTCATTTCCTTCAACCTCACCCATCTTCATTCTTCGTTCAAAATCCTGAGCCAAAAACATGTTGCAAGATCAACCAAATCGAACTCAAATGCCAGAAAATGAATCAGAATAGCTACCAAAAAACAGTCCCGACAAATTGTGTTTCATGTTTCACAGCTTTTATATTGGGCAAGCTTGAAATTGGACACGACGGCTCATTTTTGCATGAGGTACACCCTTATTTAAGTCAAGGTCAGCCACACATGACCAACCTCACACTCTTGAAGAGAGATGGAAGCTTGCTAGTCCATAAAATGGCAAATCCAGAACAAGCAGAAGCCTTACCTCGCTTTCGGCAAGAAGAGAGAGCTGAGCGTACACATCGTCTGTAGCGGCATCAGCCTGCGTTATTGAAGCACCAAAGAACAAGACCAAGTAAAAAAGAACCAACCTTTAGAAACCCTAGAAGAAATGGTATAAATCAGCGTGAGAGAACAAACGAACATGGAGCTTGACGTCGATCACACGACATAAGCAATGAGGGGGCACATCACGGCGGCAGATTCCCCCTCTCCCTCCACCGTCGGCGCCGCCGCCTCCGCCGTCCCCGAGGTGCTCCATGTGCCCCTGCGGCAAGTACACCACCAAGCTCCCCTTCTTGGGCAACCATATACGGGGCCCTGCGCAGGCGTGCCACAGCTCCAGGCACACAGGCGTTCCCTGAAACGCGTCCTCAACTGCCGCTGCCGCGGGCGGTGGAGCGGCATGGGCTGGGTGCTCCGGCTCCTCATCCTCCTCCTCTATCGTGTTCAAATCGATCCCCATTGTCTCCGAACCAAAGAAACGAGCAGCACAGGACCCAAAAGGCGAAACCAAGAAAGGGAGGACCCAAAGGCAGGGGAAGAGGGGACAGGTCGGATGCTGGTCAAGCTAAGGATGAGGGAAGGAGCGAGAACACAGGAATGGTGAAGCGACGCATGTGGGGAGAGCGCTAAAGGCTAAGGGCTCAGAAGACAAGCGTGGGAGGCGGGAGACAAGCAGAAGCAGAGTCGAGAGCAGAGCAAAGGAACAGAGACAGAGAGCTAAATAGAAGAGCCAAAGACCAAAAAAGCTTCGGCTTTTCTTCTCCCTTTCCCCACCGCACCTCTATCTCGGGCTCCTTAACCAGACATAAGCTTTGCCAAAAGGAAGAGGGTCAAAAGCGACGCCCGAACCATGCCTCTTCCGTACCCTCTGCAGCCCCGACCTCCATAACTCCTCCCCCTTCCCCTTATCTCTATCTCTCGCTCCCTCACCACATTCTTTTCTCTCGCTTGCTGTCGCAGCTTCGTTTTGATGCGGTCGTCGTCGCTGCTGCTCCTGCACAGCAACTGGCCCCGTGTCAATGCTTGAATCAAATGGCTAGAGAGAGAGACAGCGCGCGAGAGGACTCAGTGTCTCAGTTCTTCACTTCACTTTCTCCTCGCTTTTATCGGTGGGACTGTGTTGCTGTTGCTGAAGCAGCTGTTTCTGTAACGGCTGCAGCGGGCGCAGAAGAGAGCAGAGACGGGGAGGGCATGGCAGCAGAGCTGCCGGGGGCCGCTTTACTTGGCCTACTACCACGAGACCGACCTTTTCTTTATCTAATCCTTTAATCTGTGGCTGTCCTTGTCGCCTCTCTCTCTCTCTCTCTCTGATGACAAGACGTAAGAGCTCATCTGCTTTACCCCCGGGTGCTGTGTCCATTATTGCTCGATGCTTGCCTCTCCTCCTGCCACCCTGCTTTGTAGGACACAGCAAAGCTATCGTGTTGTACTGCCCTTTACAGAATTGTTTGGACGTGAAATCACCCATCGCAGACTCGCACTTTGCTGCTGCTGGTGTTGGTGTTGGTGGTGGTGGGACAACAGGCTCCAGCCTTGGACGTGGACGAAAGATAGCGTCTTTTTAACTGGCAAGCTCCCAGTTTTGACGCCATGGACCGCCATGTGCAACCCCTTGCCGCAGATAGCTTTAAAAACGGAGGACTCCAGGCATAAATGTCACTCGATCAACCAAGAGGAAGAGGGAAAAATCTACATTAGCTCGCTCTTCACTGATCCCTGTTGACCATGGCTGATCTTCTCACAGTGCTCGTCATGTCTTTATTCAACCACGTCACTGGTTGGTGGGAGAATCCGAAACGAAGCATATTACAAGTCGAATCCTCGCAAGATTTGGAGAATCCAGTTGAATCTTTGTGATGAATAGATCGCGTGGATCTTCTCGTGTTTAAAATGCCATACGGAGAGGTTCCAAATGTTCGATTTTTTGTTCATTTTCGACACACATTTTGATTATTTTCATCCAAATAGCGTTCGCAAAGCAGCGGTTGTTGCCATTTCACTTGCAACCGAGGAATGGCGAAGCCAGTAGGACACCGAGTGCAGTGTTCAACGAGACACGGGACCAGTGGGGTAGCAGAAGTCCGGTGCCTGCTTAATTTATAGTGCTTGCGTTCGCAACTGCGGGGAACAGACACTCACGGATGTTTGCGATCAGAGGCTCACATGGTGGGGGTCTGATCCGAGTACACTCACTCTCGTCTCCATCAATGCCCCACAGCAGAAAGAAGAAAAAAAAAAGAGAAAGAAAAGAAGACAGCGAGTGAGAGTGAGAGAGAGAGAGAGAGAGAGAGAGAGAGAGAGAGAGAGA